TGGCATCCTAATTATGTTGATATATAACCACAGGAATTTCAAATAACATTGTTTGAATTTTTTCCCACAATTCCAGTGTAAACAAACAGACGGCGTTGAATAGTTTAAAGCTTAATGTTACAACTTGCTTTCAACGTCGTAGTAACATTACACCTCAATGTTTACACTAGCCCTAATATTACTCTGATAACATTTTAATCAGTGTTTATTGATTTAGCAATATAAAAAGGAAAAATGGCAAAGAACTCGTAGTGTTTCTCGTGTTGTATTCTCAAATCATTTGTAATTTTGAAGCAATTAGAATTAGTAGTATACATTTATTATTTCATCTGAAACAAGAATACATGTACTCATAACATATATTAAAAAGTGATGCACGTACTGATCTTTTAATGGTTTTATCAATAAATAATAGAATAATATTAGTTACTAGTTTATCCGCCTGTCTTAATACTGACATAATTGCATCAAAATCGGTAGAGCCGTTGGAGAGACTACCAGTACTTTTAATTTCATGATGATAGGCATTTATTTGAGTTACGTCGAAATAATATTAAGATATAGTTGCGAAAATTTTCATTAAATAAAACACTAAATGGTTTAAAACGCGAAACATATTAGTTAAACTTGTTTTCAAATCATTTGTAACTACGGGTGTTTCGGATGCTTTGCAGCAGCTGTGGTCACGGGAGACCACGTACCTACTCACGTGAACTGCAGACAATATCATATATCCTAAAATAAACAATTGAGACATAGAAAATGCATTTTCAACGTGGGACGCCCATGAGTAAAGCTACGTGGGCACATAGTTGTAACCCCGCGTGTTACTGTCTAATTTGACGTCAAATTGTGACATCACGATTATTTGTGGCATAGTTTACGAGCGTGAATCAACGTAAGTCATAAAATACGTTTTTAATAGCAAGATTAAAAGAAAAAGCCGAAATCATCAAACTAAACTGTAGTGTCGTATCTCAATAGTTTCGAACAAATGTAAAATGCCGTTCTGGGATGGGACACATTTCAGTACCCGTTTCATAGATCGATGTTATCTACAGACAAGTTAATGATCGCGTCACCGAAATCTAATGAAACAATTCACAAACGGATGTTAGTTTATTAATCATGCATTAGATTGAAAAAAATGACTGATTTGAACCGGCAGCCATGTTGTTGCCCCAACATAGGACACAGTAGTTAATTTACTTAGCGCCGCAGCACGGAATGGGTTTTTTGTTGGTTTAAACCCCCTTGTAGTTTTTTTTAAATCTCAATAGATTGTTATTATACAGAAGTTTTAACCAACAAATTGTGCGGTCAAAGCCATCGGCGAGAGCTAGTTAAAATCGCTCGTTTGTTAACGACGTAGTGACGTGCCAATAATAACTTACCTGGAAACGTCGATATGTTTGGCGTAGGCCGATCGATAAACTTTTACGAGTTCTGGTTGCCGGGTCAAATTAAATACATAATTGGGTTAAGTAAAAATATATTAACCGCTGAGCAAATGTAGGTCGCGTTTTGGCCTAGTGACATTTCTCTTCATTGAATTATTTAAAATCGAGCTACATTTTTAATTTCCTCTGACAATAAATATCAGTTTTTTTAACGAAATACTGCCCGGCTGTTACAGCAGCAGCTAAGCATCTGAAACGTCAGGTCGTAGTCGGTCGTATCAATTTAAATATAATTTACTTATATCGCGCTTTAAATAGTTAAGTGTTTTAAATATAACACTTTTAACGGTTTATGATTATTTACACCTTTTAAAGTTGAAAGGTTTTTTAAAGGTTTTAAAGGTTAAGCTTATTTACACCTTATTTTAACTACGGCCTGATATTTCGGGTGTTTTGCTACGCTACGCTAAAAATTTGCCAAGAAAGAGAAAGAAAATTTGCTACGTTCGAGCCACCTCTCCCGTCGCATTTCGTGTTTTATATGCTAAAGGGGTTTTATTTAAATTTGTACTACTCGCTTAAACTATAGATAGGATTTAGTTTTGTGTTTTATTACTACTACCGTAAACTACAGGCAATATTTTTCTTTAAAAAATAATAATATGCTACTCATTTCCAAAAAATTCCAAGTGACGACGTTGTCGCAAAATAAAATAACGAAAATCGCATGCACCAGTGCTCACTTAGAATGCGACGCCGGTTTGATAAATCGTCTCCAAGAATCGGCAACCTGTTGCGAAGGTCAATTTGATACCCTTACTACGCGTTTCTCATTTGAAGGTATAACTTTTACCACTGCCTCGATAGAGTAGTGGCTAGTGTACTCTATGAGGTCCCGTGTTCAAAAGTTTGATGCCGTAAATAAAATTTCTTGTTCCAGCCCACATGTCGGATTAAAGAGGGTCCCACGTTCTTCGCAGAGCACGTTATATTTCCCATGCAATGGATTAGCGTGATGGGTCTTTATCATTAAAATCCTTTCCTATACGAGACACTTATGCTCAGGAGTTTGACTTGAATAGATCGAAACGTAACGATGTTTATCAATAACTAAATTGGGAACGAAACGAATGTGATTAGCTGTTTCGCTAAGTTCCGTGTCTACGAAACTTTTATTCACCTTTTTAATTGATATCCAACAATAATTTTGTTAATCTACTTTGTAGAGAGTTATGGGAATAAAAGAATGCTTCGTCCTCGTAATGGTAAATAATATGATGACATATTTTTGAGTACGTATGTAAGTTTAATTTTGTTTTGAAATGTTTTACAAAAGTTAACGAATTATGTTATTACAATTTTTTGGCGCTATAGGCCAAACGATAACGTATTACGAAAATGTATTCATTTCCTTTACATATACAAAACATGTCGTATTTAAATATTCTTGAGTCGCGAGACAGATTTGCATTACATACGAGTTTTGTACGAACAAACCGGTCTGTCTGTCATTGAAATGTAAATTATGCGATGAATTGAATGCAAAAACGAAGCCCAGATTTGAATTAATTCAATTATTTGCGAGAGCTGGAGGAAGAATACATACTCCAGGCCTAAATATGAGAATTTTATATTTTATACGAACTATAATAATATAAAATGTTAGCAAAATTTTAAACAACATTCAAACTATACTCAAGAAAAAAGAACTTAATAGTAGATTTACTTTTAAAACAAATATGAAATTGTGTATTTGAATTGTGTATTTCTTGTCCTGTCCGGTAAATAATAATTTAGGACGAACTAGGTAATAAATAAATTGTCTAAAGTATTCAGTATCTTTGTTTTACTGACGTCGAAATAAAGTATAGTGTAATAATGTACTTCTAGGTAGACAAATATCGAATGTTTGGCTTTTTATTTTTAGTCTGTGGTTCTGAATGTTAAAAAATTTGGTCTTATAATTTCGTTGACAGTAATAATCGTTATTTTTGAGCCAAAAACGACATTCACTGGGCCTATGCTAGGTATTGCTTACAGTTTACAAAGCATCTTTACACGAGTAATACATATTTAAATAAAAAACTAACAGATTGAAAAACAAACCTTAAAAAAAAAAAAAAAATTTTTTTTAACCTCACGATGTTTTAAGTTATAGTCGTATCTTTTAAAGCAACACAATAATAGTAAATTGTGAGTTTTTTGTTTACATTCAAATAATTATATACCACTACGACGTTATGACCGCGTTTCTTACGAAATTTTCCCTCTACATATGAAATAATTTCGGAAGTACACTTACACAATTTTTATTTCTTACACCAGTCATTAGCCATAAAACCACATAATTGCCCAAGGTCAATTCGCTTTAAGGGCCCATTAAATTCATTTAAATTTATGGTGATTTAAATTTATTATCATGTAGGGTGATGTGCCATGGATACAATATATTATATAAACACGTGATCCTAGAACAACAAAACACAAACATACAACTTAAATTCTTACATATAGAGATAATGAAGATTAGATTAACAATTTAATTGAACCATTTTAATTTATAAGATCTTACAAAATCCTTACTAAAACAATGCATTTTCAAGTACAGCTATAAATTACGAAGAAGTTTGAATAACGTTTTTAGATTCAACTTGGAAAGAATATGTGCTAATGTATCTATTTTCCGTGACAACAAAACAATCGCAGAACCAACAATAAATTATCAAATGTGTAAAACAAAAGCTATAGAATGTACACTCGCGTGCAAATTACCTCTGATTTAAATTAACGCGTAATATTGCAACATTCATTTATTACTGGTAAATTTTTTAAATACAAGCTAAAGCTATGGCTTCGTAAAAACAAAGTGCCTTATTTACGACAAAGAAACTCACAGATGTTTGTATTTGAGTGAAAATTGCATGGAAAAATAGAAAATCCAACTTTTATGTAAAATATCTTGATTGTGTTAGCACCAAACTTAATATAACATTATTTAATACACAGTATATTTTAAGTTTCTAATGAAAAGTCTGCGAGTGTACAAACACAAGGTGTTAATTTAACTGTCCTTCCCGCCTGTAAACATGGTCATGTAGATTCAAGTACGAGACGAAAATTGGCTTATTAGACGCTTGTTATGACTTATAACCAAATTTAGATGATAAATGAAGATGTAATTGTATGTTTAAACTTGATTAACATTCCTTACTTCTTCTTCTTCTTACATATCTACCTACAGATACACTAGAACATAAACATTTCATCCTACCATTCCGTTGTTGATAAACTACTATCTTTAATTTATCTATTCTGTAGTTCAGACATTGGATAGCAGTCCACATAGGGCAGACGAGCAATCCGTCAAGTGGACATTAAAACAGTCAACCGGACAGACTTTTCAATAGACCGATTAAATCGTTACAATAACAAATCGTGCGTGTCTTTGCAACGATCCGAAATAACAGACCACCGCGATGCGCGTGGGCAACGCTTTTCGCATTACTTGGATTCCTAGCACTAGTTGTGTCCCGCGGTTGTATTTGTCACGGCTAACTAATAGTAATTGTGTTTTAGACAAAAAAAGTAAGACTTGCTTACCTTACAACTAAATAGTGCATTTTGCCATGTAGCTTTGTTCTCACTAAAGAAGTAACAGCTATAGCCTAGTCTGATGAACATAGGCGGACACACATACGACATTCTTGTGGAGTTCTTCCCTTCTACGCCTTTACCTGAAAAAATAAAAAACAATTATTATTACTTCGCATATACATTCCTGTTTCAACTATGTTTTGTAAAATAATTTACTCCTACTATCGCTCATATATTTAAACCTTTCCTAACATTGAACTGAGCACAACAGGGTGCCAGGTTCTAATCCCCGTAAAAAGGCTCGAAAATTAAGGATTTATAAAACTTCTAACCTAGACCAGAATGTTGAAGACATTTTTATGACAGATGAGGATAGACAAGCTCGGATTTACAGTAATATCACCATTAATATAACATATAAAGACGATGCGCTGTCGATTTTTTTTTGGCTGGGTACTTCCATAATTGACACACTTAATAGTTTGTCTCGAACACACTATCGAATTATATTTTACTATTTAACTTAGGTAATCATAAAGAGTTGAAGAATTAACATATTTTAATATATAAAGTAAAAGTATACGCTTATTGTAAAGCATAAAAATATCTCAGTTACCTCACCTTTCGTAAAGTAGAGAGGCAATTTCGTTCCAGACATTTTTATGACGATCAAAATCACTTTCACACGAAATATTGCGCGTGTGCTCATGTGCGTGCAATTTTAATTGCACTATAGTTACAATACTTAAATGAATTTTAACTATCTGTTCAACTGTTATTATATATTTAAAGAAAACTCTTTTAACGCGAAATGTATTAAGTAGTTAAATTTATTTTAACTATGGCCTGACATGTCGAATGCTTTGCAGTAGCCAGTAGTGGCCCCGGGGGGCGACTCTACAGACTTGCGCCAACTGTTTGCTTGTATTTGGCATTTGAATACACTAGGTGGATACTTATAGAATGGATTCACGGTGTAATCTCGTTTTTCGGTATGCGATTTTTTATTTAAAAATGTACTACTTAAGTAATTTATAGACAGTATTGTCTTGACATACTAAAACCTGATACTCAAATATATAAGAACAAGCACTTAGTCCTGACGTAGCTGATTTTTATTTCTTCAATTGTACTTTTATTTATTCTTTCCTCGTTATTGTAATAATATGTGCAATATTCTTGTGGGTGTTCCTTTACGCATTTCTCTAGTCTCTAAATAGATAGCAACGAAAAAGATCGGTTATTTTTAAACTGAAACCACGTTTTCGCGTATTTTTTTATTAGTTTTATCCTATATTTATTCACGATATAATCTAGTAATAACGTCTTACGACATTTCAAATAGAATATTAATGTAAGATTTTCTATTTTAAATCCTAAATATATTAAAATCACGAACATAAACCTTGGCCGTCTAGAAGTGGAAATAACTTGACATTTCCATATCTGTTACGCCCGCGAATCTAAGGTTTGTCAACCAGCTAGATAGCTTTAATTTGGAGGGGACACATTTTTGGAGGAAATTAAAAAACTACTTGAGTGGCAATGGTGATATGCTAGTAAGCTAGAGCTGTTTATTGTTTTTATGTAAACCAACTTCACTGATGGACTGTCATACAAACTAGCCATATAAACCATATTAGGGAAATCCACAGACTGAAACCAAAACGTGACGACTCATTGGCGGACGGGGATTCGTGAACCGGATGGAATTTCATTACCACCCATTTAATATCCAGATTTCCAGACGAAGTTTAACATATTTCAGAAAAATTATTGATTAGAAACGGATTGGAAAGTGGTGATTTTTTTACTTAATACTCTCCAAATCAGAGGATCATTAATGTTCATATTTAACTTAAATAAACTATTAATGAAAAAGTTAAAGAAGTGAATATTAGATAATCGGTTATATAAAATTTTATGTGTTAAATAATTATAGCTTACAATGGACGCGAGCCTTAATTACGAAGATAAGCCTAGAAGATAAGCCATTGACAGCTTAGCTCCTAAGTGCTTAAGGTTTTTGCGGGAAAATTTAAGGAAAAAATGTAATAACGATTTAAAATTGTTAATAATTTAATAAGAATGTCTCTTATGTCCGTAAACTAATAAAATAAGACAATATTTTTTGAGAATTCAATATCATATAATATAGTGAATATTTTACCAACAATAATTTAGCAGAACCAGATATGCTAAATACTATTTATTGTTAACTTTAGTCTATATCTACAATGTTTAACACCTTTTAAAGATGGCATCCTCTATGATCCACTAATGTTTTTTTTCTTCTAAAAAGCAGTACTAGTCATTTAGTCTAGTTCAAAATATAGTTTCTCGTTAAGCCTAAAAATCGTTTCGCCTTTTGTTTTGTTTACGGAAATTCCCACAGTTGGGAGTCCAAAACCCACCGCAATGAAGTGCCAGACGGTTTAAAAAGATAATTAATTTTGTAGTTATGATGTTTACTTTTGCCGAAAAACTAAATACACCTACTTTCGAATTAATAAATACAACACTGAATTGTTTGAAAGAAAGACAGATTTACTATTCGGGTAGAGTCTCACCCCTCAGGCAAGTTGTCGGCACAGCCAATCTATTCTCCTCTGTTATAAAAAATATAACTTCCGCAATTTCTGTTGTCTACGCGTGCGGTGTAGACTATGTGCATTTTATAAAACTCTTTAAACGGTTTTAAACGCGATATACAGTATTTATTGGTTTTACACATTATTCTATGGTGGCATTATATTAATTAAAAACATTGGAAAAAAATAGATAGCACGGCCAAGACTTGAACCGATAAACAAAACGATCGATACTATTAGTAAAAATAATAAATACTTACATTGTGACCAGAATACAATAAAGACTATAGCAGCTACTGCAAGAACTTTCCCTCGTCTTTCCAAAGCTTCCATTTTGTTTTTCTTTTTACTGTCTTTTCCTTCGATATAAACAAATTACACTCAAGCACTTCAACCAAGCACTTTTCAAGTCATGTTGCACTTGAATTTCAAAAATGCGAAACACTCACTGGTCACTCACTGAACCTGAAACAAAGAAAAAAAAATTAGGTATTTAACGTATCTTTCTTGAAATGAGGAACTGTTTTCTACGTCTAGTAGTTGGTGCACTGGGCTGCAGGTTCCGTGTTCGAGGACGGAAGAAATGTCAATTCGATAGTTCTTCTTTATTTTAACGAGTATTTCTATTACACCTGATTAAGACTTAAATAACGTGTTATAACACGATGATTTTTTATGATAGGAGGACAGACAAGCAAACATCTAAATAAGATGCACTATTGACTAGTATTTTGGCTTTGGATATTTGGAAAACCACAGAGTTAAACCAAAACGCAATTTAACTTGACAGCTTTTTCATTTGCGATGGTGGTTTGTAAACCGGAATTTCAAACACCACCCCTTCATACTATCCAGATTTCCATACGAAATCCAACATAATTCAGATTTTTTTATTAGAAACATATTGGGCCCGTTGGTGATCGAACCTACGCACCATTAAGCCAACAAGCCCGTCAAAATGTATGTAATTAATGGAATCTTTGCGAGCTACTTTGATATTATTACTTTACGTTATACTGCTGTGAACAATCACATGGATATAGGTACAAAGCATGCTTTGGAAATTGTTATCACTATATTATACGGCTTGTACATAAATTGTTTAATTTGTGTTCTATAATTACAAATACAATAATGCAATTTGAAAGCAAATAAATATAGTGTATTTAGGTTACGGTAGAAAGTCTGGCTGCGCAGAGAAATCTAGATTTTAAACGCCGAGTCTCATAAACACAATTATAATGTTTTGTTACACTATTCGTTTTGCACCTGCTGTAAACACAATTTCAGAATATTTAATTAGATTTTAAATGGCGTATTTGAGATTGAATCGCGCGTCTCTTTAAATATGCAGCTAGTATAAATAACTTTTATTAACCGGCAATTACAGTCTGTTAGTTGCAATATTTAAATAAAACCCTTTAGACGGTTTAAAACGCGAAATATATTAATTAACCTAATTTTATTTTATTATACCTACGGTCCGACGTTTCGAGTGGTTTGCAGCAGCTATGGTCTCGGGGGAAACACAAAAGTGGTATTTAAACGATTTTATTTGAATTAAAACAATGGCTATTAAATAAATAAATATTTCGCTCAGTCGTGTAATAATTGTGAACTCATCGTCCTATTTGATACAGATTCCGTTCTGGTATCGCTTATTACAGCAAATTCTTGACGTGTCTTTGAACTAAAAGTTGATGACCGCATCAAAACGACGTGGAAACACGTGGAAACATAAGCATTTATGCCTCTATTTAAATGCTAAAACAATGTTACTTTGCTAAGTCTTTCTTTATCAAATAAAAACTTATGAACGACGATATAGTAAAAAAATTAAAACTCAGTTCCCAAATTAAGGGCGTATAACAAACGGGAAGCAAAAACTCGCCACCACTTCATGTATCGTCAAGTTTTTATTTCAAATATTGTTGCCGATAGGAAGATGAACTACTAAAATTGACCAGGGTTCAATTAACAAAATAGCAACATAGCCTGACGAACCCCGAACGACACGCCCGAAATACAAACTTCACAAAAGACAAGAAAGGAAAGAATCTTCAGGATACATGGAACAAACCAGATTCGAATTCAGACCCTCAGATAACAAGCAGTCCTGTTCATATGCTAAATATTAGAACTGTGTATACAAAGACGAACAGCTCAAACATTAATCGGTCTTTCCCGTCGCCATTAAGACCACAAAAGCATATCTAATGATAGCTCAAGTCAAGCTAATATTATCCATCTAATGATAGACGCATCAATGGAATGCGCAACCGCAGGCAACCACGCGCGACTGCACAGGTTCGATGCCTTGTCATTATTTTTATCCTTTTGTAATCCGTAATCAATGAACATTAACCTTCTTACAAATAAACGGAGTTTTGATGTAGATTTAGAATTCTGGTTTTTAATAATACGTAGGTTCGCTTCAAGCTATTAATGTCCCACGGTTGGATACAGGTTCTTATATCTTAGGATAGGGTTTTGGGATTTTAGACCCAGCACGCTGTGTCTGTGTGAAGGCACCGGCACTAAAATATTGGTGATAGCCGAGACCGACGTCTTAACGTATTGTTCAAGGCACGAGGGCGATGACACCACTTACTTCTATACTCTGAGCTGCTACTAGAGATTTTCTTAAAAAAATTCCAATCAAGCCTATCCAGGATTCGAACCCGGGTTATCATTATTTGCAGTCGATTCCAGAAATAACAAGTCCAATGAGGCAAATCCCCGATTGTGTATACAGGCCCCTTTTTTATCTTATACTCATAATGTAATCGTAAACCAAAAATCTGTTTTAGTTTGAAAATACGTTGACTCGCGCGGAACTAGCATCAACATTTAATTTTTTTTCAATTCGAACCAGTAATTCCTGAGATTAGCGCCTTTAAACAAACGAACAAACTCTTCAGCTGAATCATAGTAGTATATGTAGATTAATATAGACCCAATTCTGTGTCTGTTTTACTTGATTTTATTTAGTACTTCTTCCCCATATTATATTAAAGGGGAAACGTTAGTGATCGTGTGATGTCTACTTTAATATTATTCGTATACAGACCTAAGATAGACGAAAGATAGTACTCTCGGTCTGTTTGCTTCATATAATCGTAATATTATCTATATTTATACCATTCTATATCTAAGAGATACCGTAGCAAGGAGCAATTTGTCATGCATATGATTAGATGCAGATGCTGCACTTGAGCAGCATCTAGAAACCACTTGAGACCCTTGTAAGAGTACGTAAATGTTGAGCGAAAGTTTGAAGGAATTATACGAAAAATAACACATTGTAAAATTGCTAAGTTGTATCCGTCAATTGATCTTTGTAAGAATTGCCAATAACCTCTGCTAATGCTATTTTGCCCTAAATATGAATTTCTTTAAAGAAATTTTTGGATAGCTGTCAGCTGAAGATAGCTTTTCATTTTGAAAATAAAACTAATAACGTCTTTTATTTCTAACGTAAATAACTACAATTATTTTTATAAGTATTTCAAGGTTTTTGTATAAAGTTTGTTACTTTTTTTACCCCTTTACAATCAACATAAGACCGCAAGGAATTATATTAAACCAAAAGATTTAGGATAAGAGAATGTGTCACCGACATTTTTAATGTTTCATTTGAAAGTTTAAAACTTTTTTCGTGTGCTCAAAATATAAGCTCAATATTCATTGCGCAAGCCCATCACGGCAGTCCTTATTATACCGTCCTATTAAAACATAAAAGGCGAGTAATTAAACTCTTACATAGATTAAAATGACGGCGCGGGCGCAAGTTAACCATAAACTAAGAGATTATAAATAGATGATCGATGAGCGGTTAGAATGTATTGATTTCACGGGTTCATAAACCTTAGTTTTATTTCTGGCCTTATTAGTGGTTACGAACTATAATTAAATTATGAGTTTTCAATAACGTGCTTTCGTTTCGACCGTAATTACTGCATACTGATGTTCATTTGTTTTCCTAAACTAAGTTCCATAACTATATTAATGTCATAAAGCTGAAGAGTTTCGTTTGTCTGTTTGACCGCACGATTCTCAGGAACTACTGGTTCGAATTGACAAATTATTTTTGTATTTGTATAAACATTAGGTTGCAACTAATAAGAGTGAAGAAGCAAAAACGTGGAAAAAACTGAAAAAATATATCTTTGAAAGATACCGTTGAGTGCGATGCGACAAAGATTTAAAAAAAATATAGATGAAAGAATAAAACTATTCTACGCGGACGGAGTCGTAGACATAGTTAGTACTTCTTATGGCTTAACGTTGACATCCATGTCTTCACAAGACGTGTCAGCGAGATTTGTCATTTGATCGCGTAGGGGTTAGGGCGCGGGCGTTCCGATAAACGCAAGGTTTCCTAAAAAAACAAACTTTGTTTTTAATAAAACATGAACTAGTCTTCAGTATATAGTTTATTGCGTTTCAAAATAGATTGTTTGTACAAAGCTCGGTGATAAATTTGACGTTCGACGGATATTTGTCGACCTTCAAGGGTTTTACTATTAGTTTTGTAATTAAAAACGGTAATTATCGTGTAGGTTGAAGGAAACAGTGGTACTCGCCTAGGCTCTGGATATCTGTGTGAATAAGAACTTATGAACTTAAAATCATAAAACAAACAATAATCTATCGAAAAAATCGATCATCATCGAATTCAGTCAATACTAATCTCTATACTCCGCAATAATTCCCACGGCTGGGACACTGGCCCCTACGATAGTAATAAAGCATTCGCGCCAACATATTTACGTTTCATTTTAAACATACACTTTATGGGTAAAGTAATATCCCGTTTCCCCCTTGTGGGGCATGGGGCGAACACTTTTTGTGTTCGTTTCATTGATCCGTTCTTTAAAAGGCAAGTAGTTGATCAGAGTTCTATGCCCTGCCCGAACGAAACAATTTTTTGTTTCCCTGGGATTCGAACACAGGACCTCTCGCGCTTAATGCAATGCTAGGCAATACGTTAAAACATTTGGCTACAGAGACTTTATGGATGGTAAGGATAAAATTGGCCAATTGCGAGGCGGTCTTTGATTCCGTACAATTGAAAAAATATAAAGACTAGATTAAAATAAAAAAGTCTACTTGTAACAGTTTGAAAGGTGAAATATATTTGTAAACTTATTTACAGATAAGCATCAGAAACTTCGGACCGTAATTAAAATAAATTATAAATAAGCTAACTAATATATTTTGCGTTTTAAACCTTTAAAAGTTTAAAACGTCTACTGACGTAAACTACAAATCCATGTATAAGTACTCCATTTTATTATTCATAGGCATGTTTGTGAAATAGTTTTAACTGT